AAAGAAATTGAGAAATAATGTATTATACAGTCAGGGTCGAACCCGATGAAGCCTTTCCTGATAGGGTAGTTTAATGAGGGCTTTTCAGGCGGCGGAGTTTCAAAGGATTCACCCGAAGACGAGGAGGTCGTTGCGCTTTCAAAAAGCGAGAAAACAGACACTATCCAACGTTGCGCTGGGAAGTAATAATTTATTTTTCTTGAATGACTAAGGAACACAAAGCGTTCACTTTGAGAGGGAAGTGAGAATAGAAGTAGAAAGAGATGCCTGAATCAACCCTGAGGATGGAAGAACTTCCCTCGTCCTCCATACACCACCTTTCCTCTTCGGGATCCCGACTCAGCGCTAGACCCGATTGGGTGCCCGACGGTCCTCTTCCGCGTTGCAATGCGACATCACATGGCTTTGTGGCTGTGCGTTTCTTCTTCTTTAACTGGCAATACGAACAATGCCCACTGGGGACGCCAATGGCAGTGCATTCTCTCCCCCCACTAAATTCATCCTTGGAATCATGAATCTGGATAGGGAGCGATCGACCCCGCCAGGTCACGATACTGAAGAGTCATAGACCCCCCTGCTGTTGCTGCTTCTTTAAAACTTTAAAAAAACTTGGGTTTGCATGATTTGCATCCCTCTCTTCATCACTGTTCTTCTAACTACCCATCGACACGATCTACATCTTTCTATATGACACACACATGCTTCATTCCATGTCCGTCAGCCTTATCCACAATACACAATAGCAATCATCGAAGCCGCCAAAATACTGAGCGGTAGAAGACCAAGACCCCCTAACAATGTTGCGGCTCCAGACTGTTTGTCCGAATCTGACGACCTGTCATTGGCTCCTTTCATTGACCCCGACGTTGCGGTAGCGCTTGGCGTCCGTGAAGGAATACCATATGTGTGGCTCTTCGCATCATACTTTAGACAAGCTGTGGGTAGAGGATAGGAGGTTGATGCCAGGACAGCTTGTACTCCGACCCTTTCACTGAACTCCGCAATGTCGACCTCCATGTTGGCGAGGACACCCATGTTGACGTCCACCGAAGGGGCGATATGTGTCAGGCTATCGAAGACCTCATCCAGGACAGATGTCAAAGTGTCATCTCCACTCCCATCAACCACGGGCTCACACTTGTCACTGACATGACTCAGTTGAGTCGCATTCACAGATATCTTTGGCAAGTTGACGAACGCTCCAACACCGCCAGATACTAAACCCTTTGCCGTGCTGATTCCGAGCAGGATCTGCGGCGTGAAGGTAACACTGAAAATCAAAGACGCCGGTGCAGACGTAGATTCAAACTCCAGCGCGTGGACCTTGGTTTTATCACTACGCGCTGTTAGCTGGCCATTCGGCGTTCATGCATCGTTGAGGATAACGTACAAACCTGAAATGGAGGAATTCCCAGGCTCACTCATGTTAATCTTAATATTCGAGTTGTCCGGTACCTACACGAATTAGTATAATCTGGCGATTCTCTCAGCTAGGAACCAGTACCGAAAGATTGAAGCCATAAGAGAACCCTATCTCCTCCACCATATTTACGCTAAGTGAGAGATCAGGTTGGATTATTGGACCGAAAGCTACAACTCCTGGGATCTAGGATTGTCAATACCGTCATAACAAAGTATGATGACACCTTGTGCCCGGATGCCTACCTCAAATGGGGTGAGAGGAATTGTAGGGAGAGACATGTTGAGGGACGCCAGAGATTGGCTCAGCGAAAGGTCAAGACCAAGTTCAACCTGTGCGAAAAGGCCATTCGATAGAATTTCAAGAGCACCGTCGTCAAAAAAGGCAATTGTGTCTTTAATCTTATTTCCAGAAATGTTGAACGAGCCTCGGGTTATCTCAATATCACCCTGGAGCGTGCAGTTTTTGCAGGTCACTGTTACCCCTTGCGGTCTAAGATCGTTAGCACCGTGGATATTACATACATTTGCACTTATGAGACCTACATGAACATGTCAGCGGCAGGAGTATCTGGCGGAAATATTTTCTGGTCAATATAGTGCTTGTCGAGCGATTTTGTCGCACTCGAAGGTAGTCCCGTTGTTGCAGTGGGAACCGCTGGAAACGATATGGAAGGTGCAGAGCCTTCCCCTACTACCTTTGTGGTTGTCGGCACATTTGTTGGCTCCTGCTGTCGTTTCTGATGCACGGTATATGTACGTTTCTGAATGCTTGATCGGTGCCTGTGGGAGAAAGACACGCTAGTGGAATGGCTTGCATCGTGCCAGTCGCATTTGACTTTCTCCAGGGTGAATACTTGACGAGCCAGATCGACAGTCGCCTTCGTCACACTAGATGCAGTATGAGATGGGCTTAGTCGCGGCTCCGTGGTCAGACACTTACCGATGGATGGACCTTTCCCCTTCCAAGTCGCAACCTTCATGGGAAGTGACGACTACAAAATCGGACGCAGCCTCAAGTTCCTGCTTTAGGGCTTTGGCCCGAGTAGGCGAGCCGATGGACAGCTGAATCTTTGCATCTGAGCATGTCATATCGTCTATGTCGGCATCTAAAGCCTCAAGGGCAAGGATTGGGTGTTGAGATGCCACATTGAGGGTAGTGGCGAAGACATATTCCGTGTCTCCTTCTGGAACCTCGTGTATAAAGTCGAAACTTGCTTCTCTCTTAAAAGCGACCGTTTCGATTTCTCTCACCCTGAGACTGAGGGGCAGACTGGCCGCAGAAAGTCGTCGGGCCTTTGGAAATTCCAGGGCCTGGAAATGTTGATCGAGGGCTAAGCTGGCCCCTCGCGCAACGCTAAAGGTAGTCAAGAGAGCCAACAGGCCAAGGGTTCTGAAAGAGCTCATCTTATCTGATCGGAAGAATAAGCCGTCCCTGGCGGCAAGTTCTGTACGGTATACTAGCTTTTCTGGCGAAGAAATACACACGAAACAGAACACACTCCATCTTGCAGGGTACCATGTATACTACATATACCCCTTTAATGTACAGCACTCTATGTGTGAGCGGACCGTCGGCCCCCGACTTTAGTGCCTTGAGCTAGAGAAAGGTGTAACAACGAGAGAGTTATAATTATCTGTCACTAACTGCACAGCCCTGTATTCATTCAACCTAAGCATAAGTAAGCTGCCGCTATGATGCTCCGTTGGGTATAGCACAAGCGACTAGACATGCAAAGTCACTGTGCCGCAAGGCTGAAGCCGACGTTAGTACGGCAACTAACAAACGGCCCCTCAGACGCGACGGGCTAACATCACGATTAACACATTTTTCGCTTATGTGATTGGTTGTCTAGACCTCTTACTGATGATTGACAGACTGTCACTGGAATGACGGGACTGTAGACTGCATGGTGGCTTGCATGAGGTCTCAAATAACAAAGGGTCTACAGAGTATCAAATGCTTGAGAATGATCATTGGCTGGCCAAAGAGATGGAAGATTATACACAGGAGATATCGTTAGAATAACTCTCTCTCTTCGTGAAAGGACCCTTCCTCAAATTGGTTCTTTCCCCGAAAGAGTCATGGGGTGTTGAATAATGATGAGTTGATTATCGTGACTTGGTTCAGTGTTCCGCCGTCTTTTGGCCCACAACAGATGCGTACGTAGGAATTCACTCCGTTTTGTACTTTCCAGGGCTCGCTGAGATAATTACATAATTTGTATGGAGCTGCGAAATTAGAATATTTCTTGACCCAATTTGATGGAGATCTTCAAAGTTCAAACTGGTGCGACGACCAAGCTACTCCGGCGGGTTTTTCCACCTGGCAACATATATCTTAACCTCGGTCAAGTTTAACCCTAACCTCGTTTTTGTCACCACATTGCAAAGTAGCCGCGACAGTCAGGCACAATATTGAATAATGATAGTATATGAAGGATAATAGTGAAGCAAGTCTTTGAGAAGACGGAAGATCAAGGAAAAAAAATGCGTACGTGTTGAGCAATCCTGCTGTTTGGTGACTTTGGTGACAATGGAGACGAAACGTGGAGAACAGGAATGTGGCCACTCCACCAGGACCCTTCGGGGATGAGTCTCAACTGGCCGGACCATTTGAATCAAGAACCTGCCCTAACAATTTAGCGTAGATCCACCGTAGCATTTGAAGAAGCTACGTCGGCAAGTCAGGTACGCTATTAGTCAAATCCACAGGATCTCGGCAATCCGCGGTCACGATGATGGGGCCGAACCCCGCATAAAAAAGGTAGCAGCATGCATGATTGACTTAAGGTGAGGGGAAAAGCTGAAAGTCCGCCACCATCTTTTTCTTCGTCATTTGTTTTTCTCTCTGCAACTTATAAGAGCTCCCCTGTGAACCTGTCGACCTTGTGCGATCTTCCCCTACTAGCAATCAACCGCTGCGATGGTCCAGGTATAATCAATTGGCCCTAATCGAAAGTATTTGGTGATCATTGACTGCAACCGGTACGCAAGGGGGTGACTGCTGGAACCGCTACCCATTCAAAACGAACGACTCCAACGACTGCTTTTTGGTACCACAAGTGATGTGTCTGCGATGATTGTTCTCAAAAAGTGTGTCCCATTTGCCTGTCGCCCGAGTGTTGTTTCCCCAGGGACGCCTCGCAGTGCCAGGCACTTGTCCAAGACCTTGCAAGCACTGCCCCCGGGGCGGCGAGGTTTGCTGACCCAGAGCTATGCTCGTGGACCGCTAGAGGTACCCTTGTGCTACGTGTCGAGTGTCTGGATCGCATGAGGCTAACAATTCCTTGTTCTTACCATAAGCCCCCATTGCTTGAATCCACCATTGGGGACCATTTCGCTCAAATCGTTAGCTCATATGGTGACCGAACAGCGTCTGTTTCCTCATCCGCTGCAAAACAATCTTGTTCTGAGAATAGAAACTGACTCGATATTAGTGTCATCTGCAAGCATCAAAATGACCGAGTAACGTATGCCGGTCTCGATGCGAAAAGCAACGCCCTCGCACGGGGCCTGGAATCTGTAGGCGTGCGCACAGGCGACCGTGTGGGAGTGATGCTCGGAAATTCCATGGAATTCTCCATTGTATGCTATAAGTCTAATTCCTGGCGCCAATGACGCTCATTATCATTACCAAGATAACTCACGTCCATTGTGCTGCAGGCGACTTATGCGTTGTTTAAACTCGGAGCCATCCTTGTGAGTTTCTATCGCTAACACCACAGAGTGGAATTCTAACCGCGCTTCCCAGGTCCCAATCAACCCATCCTTCAACGCAGCTCAAGTGGTCTCGGCATTAAATCACCTCGCGGCTACACATATGATTGTCAGCACCGAGTCTAATCTGCCGCGAAAAGAGCCCCGGAGCAACATCCCCATCTTACAACACCTGGTCCAAGACCTTCACAAATCAAAACTGGAGTCCGCACTCGTGCCATCCCTGAAGCATATCATCATGGTCGACAACTCTTCCGGCCGAGTTGACCTCTCCGATTATAAATCGTTGACGAAATATTCCTCGGTGATATCCGGCGCAAAGGCAGATGAAGCTGCATTGCCACACCGAGATCTATCACCTCATGACGTCGTGAACATCCAATTCACCTCCGGTACCACCGCCATGCCCAAAGCAGCATGTCTGACCCATCGCTCGGTTCTCAACAACGGCTCCCAGATCGGCGATCGCATGCGCCTCACCCCGGAGGATATCGTCTGCTGTCCTCCACCGCTGTTCCATTGCTTCGGCTCCGTGCTAGGATACATGGCCACGGCAACGCACGGTTCGGCCGTCGTGTTCCCCACCGAATCATTCAATGCCCGGGCAGCGCTCACAGCCGTCCAAGAGGAGAGGTGCACCGCACTTTACGGCGTCCCGACAATGTTCATCGAAGAACTCACCCTGATCGACGACGGCGAAGTGCCAAACGAAGGATTCGGCCATCTGAGAACCGGCATTGCAGCCGGAAGTAGCGTGCCAGCTGCCCTCATGGAGAGACTACATAAGGTCTTAAACCTAACAGAGTTGACCATCTGCTATGGCATGACAGAAACGAGCCCCGTCTCCGCCATGACGACCACTGACGATCCGATCGACAAGCGCATCAACACCGTCGGCAGACTCATGCCGCATGTTGAAGCGAAGATCGTGAACCCAGCCAATCGGAGCCAGATTCTCCCTGTCGGTGTGCCCGGCGAACTGGCGGTGAGCGGATATCTCTTGATGAAAGAATACTGGGGCGACCCGCAACGCACCGCGGAATCGATGATCGCGGATGATCAGGGGAAGGTCTGGATGCATGTATGTTATTTATATCCTTTCCCCTCTAACCCACAGAATTAATTTACGTAGATTCTAGCCAGCTAACAATGTGTATAGTCCGGTGACGAAGCGACCATATCCCCCGATGGATATGTGACGATTACTGGTCGAATCAAAGACCTCATTATCCGCGGCGGAGAAAACATCCACCCACTTGAGATCGAAAACTGTCTACTGACGTATCCTGGTATTTTGGATGTGTCGGTTGTCGGTGTACCTGATGAAAGGTACGGAGAGGTCGTGGCTGCTTTCATCATTCCCAAGGAACACCAGGATGAGGCTGCGCCTCTGACTGAAGAGAATATCCGGGAATGGGTTAGGGGGCGGTTGAGCAATCACCTTGGTAAGACCTCAGCTTTAGCAGAATACTTCCGTTTACGAGATCAACAGCCACAAGGAACTGACGTCCTTAATTTACAGTCCCGAAGTATGTTTTCAATTTGGAACCCTCGACGATCTTCCCCAAGACTGCCAGCGGAAAGATCCAGAAGTTCAAACTCAAGGAGGATGCTATCAAAATCCTCAAGGAAAGGAACTCGTTGAGCTAAGTGAGTAGTAATGGGACGGACAGACAGACAGACAATCGAACTCGAGTTCTAGAGAAGTAGCCATCTCAAAGCGATGAATTAACCCATCTAAGCTAAAGATAAAAACCTATATGTCTTCCTACACAAGACTCATGAATGACCAAGCGTAGCCCTAAAAAAAAAAAAAAAAAAAAAACCATACAATGCCTTATTGACCTCCTGTAACTCCCACTTTGACCAGCCCAACTCTAGATCTAGATCCTATATAATATATGCAAATCATGAAACATAAACCACACCTTTCCCCCTCCTCCTAGCCCTAGAATTCAACCTGAGATAAATAACCTCCTGCCCAATTGCCAACACCAACCCCCCAGCGGCCAACGCAATCATAATCACAAGGCCAGTAAGATACCTACAAACACCGAGATCCCAAGCATCAGTCTACACATCCACAAATATATAGAAAAAAAAGTAAATAAAAAAGGACCAAAAACAAGAACTTACGAGGGCGAATCCCATTCCTGAAAAATCTGCGATCCACCCATCATACCTGCATTCGAAGCCATGACCCCTAGGTTTCCATATATCCATTAGTCGCCTGTCTATCCAACCACCCATAACCCACCAACCAACTCATAGAAAGCAGACGGAGAAGAAGACACACTTACACATCCTAGCAATAACAACGTCAACACAACCACTCAATCAGCCCAAACCCCAAACTCAACAAATACAAACACCCCAACCCCCAAGAAAAGAAAATAGAAAAAGAAAAGAGAAGGAAAAGAAGAAAGAACTCACGCAATAGCAATACTCCTCTCCCCCGCACAATGGCAATTAAGCTGCAACCACGTATTATGCACGGGATGATAGCACACCGCGAACGCATTAATCACAGTCCAGATACCGAATTGACTCCATTTCCCGTCTACCCTAGGAAGAAGACACCGACACACGATCAACACAATCAGATAGCATGTTACTGCGGCGATGACTGTTAGGCCGCGTCTGGTGGTGCGGTCGCTGATGTAGGAAAAGAGGAAGACTAGGGGTAGGGCTAGGGTGGCACCGATTGCGGTGAGGGCGTTGGATTGTAGGCGGGTGAAGCCTAGGGTCCTTTTTTTTCCCCTCACTTTCTGTTAGGTGTCTTTTTCCTTTTCATTGGGTTATTGTGGGTATATGGGTGGGTAGGGGTGTACGTACATCATGATTGTGGGGGTGTAGGTTGTCAGTGGACTCCAGGTTGAGAAGACGCAGGGGGCGAGGAGGAAATGGGGCCAGCGGCGGTAGTTGAAGAGGGCTTTTTTGATGTTGGATTTATATGTTGGGAAGGGGGGGTCGGTTTTGGAGGGATTTTCTATTTCGCTTTCGCTTTCGCTTTCTCCTTCTCTTCGGGAGGTTCGAGTGTGTAAGATGTCTCTATCTTCCGGGGAAAAGGATATCACGCCGCGCTTCAGGAGATACGGTCTCGGATTTGAGGGGCTTTGGGGGAGTAGTAGCAGTATTAGAAATGCCGTGGTGATGGTGAATATGCCCTCGACTGTGTGTTGGTTGTTAGGTTAGACTAGAGTTAGATGGTGTGATTATTGGTTATTGAATGGAATGGACATACTAAGGAAGATCCACTGCCAGCCCTTCAGGCCGTGTTTCCCATCTAATTTCAATATTGCCGCCCCTATAAGAGGCGAGATGGCGTTTCCGCCAAACATTCCGAAGAAAAAGATGCCGATTCGTTTTGCGAGCTCGGTTTTCTCGTACCATGTCGATAGTGTGTATAGGGAAGCCGGGATGTATCCTGCTTCGGCGAGCCCGAGCAGACTCCGCACGACTAGAAAGCCTGTTCGATTGCGCAGGAAGACCTGGAAAGTTGCGATGGTACCAAATGCGAGGACCTGCGCGGGGATCCATTTATCGGGGCCGATCTGTATTTCGTTATTGATTAATTGTGCCAGGTCAGGGAAGTATACATTGTAGTTTTCGAGGAAGGCGCCGTATGATGAATGTTGTTGGCAGCAACTGACGACTTACTTTCTGAAGCACGATATTAGAAGGAATTTCCAGCACAATGATACCGAGAAACATCAATTGGTTTCCTAGATTGACTGTGCTCTGGTCGATGTGTATATCCTTGCCAAACCCGCCGGTTAGGGCACTGGCGATGTTCATGCGGTCTAATTGGAATACCGTCATGCCGAGTAACAAGAGGGGTAGGACTGAGAGATCAATTCTAGAAAGAGTTAATAGTCGCCGTATCTCTGAAGGAAGTCAATCAATACTGACTTTCTCCGAGTCTTGTGCTCCAACACGGCGGCATTCCATAACGTCTCGGTGTCACTGTTGGATTCCCGCTCCAAATAGTTCGGCTCAGGTTTAGTTTGGGATATAAGCATGGTGATTTACAGTAGTAGGTACATGAGATGAAGAAATCTCCCATTAATTCTAGATTTTGGGTGATCTTTTAAGGTTAGGGTCCACTGTAAAAAGCGGGATGCTCGAGTGAGGACCTTCCGGGCATGATGCAAGATATACCACGTACCTTGAGGGCCGGAGTTCAACAAGGTAGCGGGATATGCCTGAATGGCGTCATGAAGAACCTTATCGGCACATTCATGCACTAATTCCGTGGCTATCTGGAGATCTTCCAATCACTGGGGCCTCTGGAGCAAAGCGGGTCCTCATCTTCCAATCTATAGTTTACATTTTGGATGATTCTAAGTAATAAGTCCTCGTATCTACATCATACATTATGTCCTCATTCGTGACATACGAAGCCCGGCTGCAGACAAAATTCATCAATATCATATAGCCACGAGGGTATCTGGGCCATGAATTGGCGTCATGAGACATCATCGTCATTTATAGTACCACATGATCCTGCAGTGGTACCCAAAAGTATCATTCGCATAGAGAAACATTGACCATAATTAAGCGCCACGGAACTGGGAACAAAGAAACTACGTTAGTCAAGTCCAAGTATTTGATCAGGGATGAACATACCATTCGCACAACCAAATACCACAGCGCTCCGATAAACTTGAAGATCGACAATCCCGCAACACTCCAGAGGACGACTGCCATGTAGATCTGGGATCGCTTGTTCGAACCTTCATTGGTCTTTTCATTCTCATCGAAGCGGTCCAAGCCAGCTGCGCTGAGCACGACGGCCCCTAGAGCGAAGTTGCAAAACACCCATGCCAGCACGACCGCACTTCGGAATCCCTTGTAGTAATCGGCCTGTCGTTCTTCTTCGGAGATGACCTGTACTTCCTTGGGTGGCTTCTCAGCAAACTTGGCCAACTCCGAGTCGTATTGGGCGTTCAAATCGCCATCATCCTGCGGAATGTCGACGTCCACCTTGCCGCCAGGCTTCAGATTCGCGGAGGGCAGCTTTTCCGCCTTGTCGTCACCCTTAGTACCCCATGTGATATCGTGAGTGTTGCAAAACGCGTAGATGTTCAACACGTTGATATACGTCGGAGTGAGCAAGATATATTGGATGAACTGTCCCGAGTTAGAGATCTCAATTGCAGAGTCAGACTAAGGGGGACTTACGCTGGTGAACATATGCCAGGGATCAAAGAAAATAATCGATGCGACAAACCACATGACATACGTTGAGCCCAAGGACACAATGATCGTGAAGAACGTCGAGTTGGTGAACAGATCGGTGAAGGTAAAGCCATCCTGCTGCACCTCCGTCTGGATAGATCTCACCGTGACGAAAATGCAAGCAAATGCCAGGTAAATCATAATACCAATCCAGAAATAGACCATGGTCATATAGAACTTATTCGATCCGCCTGGGCGATTGCCCAGGGCCAAAACGAAGCACGTTACCAATGTTGCGAGGTAAAGCCATTCAAAAACAACACCGAGCACTCTACCGGTGGTGCTGAGGAGATCTTTCTGACCGAGATATGTCGTGAGAATGTGGAAAACCAAGAAGAAATTACCCTACAATGAAAGTTAGTGTGACTGTGGCCGGTGGAAGCTAGGGCCGTGCTTACAATGCCAAACCAAGCGAACAGCATGTTGATGGTTTGATAGAAAAACTCGATGAGTAACGCGAACTTCCGAATAGCGGAATGGTCGCTTCTCCAGATCTGATAGAAATGGGCGATCGCATACACTGCAGCGAAGAAACTGCCGTTCAGCCACCGACGGCGCTGAAGAATGAACTCCGCCATCCGATCCGGAACATCGGTCTCGCCAGTAGAAGACTTGACGTATTGCAGTAGCCAGCGACATTTACGCTTGGTGACAATTTCGAAACACAGAATACGATCCTCAGCCAGGTACATATTGGCCGTGAAAATACCGGCGTTGGCACCATGCATCTTTTCACCGAGAAAATACCGCTCTAACGGACCTTGGCCGTTCTTATCATTCTGCAATGCGACATATCGGTACGCAGAAAATGCACCAGGAAGCACACTGATAAACCCAAACGCGGACTCCATCGGTTTGTCGAGGATATTGCTCAGTTTATACTCGAAGTTCTGACCAGCAACCAGGGGGTTGAGCAGTTTCTTTCCATGCGAGAGCATGACTTTGATTTCACCACACGCCCCTCCACACATCGGCTCCACATCGAATGCCTTCCAGAGACGATAGATGGAGTCCTTGCCGGGCTTCGTTCCAGCATCGAGAAGGACACAAATATTAGGGTCCAGTACCCGGCCAAATGCCTGGAAGAACCAGCGGTGAGAGTTGATCTTCTTCTGGTTCTTTTCCTTCAGACAGAATATCATCTGGACGGGAACTGCCGAGCGTCCCTTGATTTGGACCTGGGTTCCCTTCAGCTCGAGAGCTATCTGAGTGGTGTATTCGTAGATGTGTGCTGTCACGTCCTTGCCGTTAACTTGCTGCTTAGCAATTCCGTCCTGGTAGACTCCCAACGCGGCCAACACTGCACGGGTTCGCGGGTTGATTTTCGCACGACCGTCGCTGATGACACAAACCACGATCTTCTTCCATGCGTCCTTGCCCCATGTCTTGCTATGCGTCCTTGAACACATATACTCAATGTTTTTGAATACACCAATCAACGTCCGCGCGAAAAGAAAGTCATCTTCGTTATACATTGTTACCACGATGAAGAGTTCGGTATGACGGGGCTTGGCGAACAGCTTCTGGCGCAAAGTGAAGCGCTCTTCAAAGAAGTCGTTGGGGTCGCATGTTGCGGCGGAATAACGCATATGTGTGAACTCGTCGCGGCCCGGAGGCTCAGCATGAGGAACCTGGCTAAGAAGTTTGGGTGCGATCGGACAATCCAGAACGAGATTACCGTTAAACAATTGCACCTCTTTGACCGTTTTCCACCGTCGGATAGGTGCCGGGCTTGGGGTATGGCCGTCCGCCGGCTCTTCCACCTGGTATTCATCACTGTAGGGATCCGGCCCGAAGGGATTGTCCTGTTGTAGCATGGGAATGCGATCGTCACTATACGAGTGCTGGTGCTGGTGTTCAGGGTATTGTCCTAAGTCGTAATCATCCTGTGGTGTCGCTGTAGGTTGGTAAGGTTGAGTATAATAGGCGTCGTGATGTGCCTCGGGATCCACCGAATATTCATATCCAGGGTAAGCCTGCGGTTGGCGCTGTTCATAGGCTTCGTTATGACCGTAAGAGTTAGGCAATCGCTCTACCGAATACTGTTTACCCAAGTTTGTCAGAATAAACACCATGGTATATGTTTAATCCGAGATGCTCACCGTTGGCTGCTCGGCCAGCAAATCACTCGACGGCATATGAAGACGCTCCTGTGGCCCATAAGAAACATCTGAGAGCTGGTAGGCATTCAAAGGCCGACCCGGCGACGGAGACCGATTGTGCATTTGATGGGGGTTCATCATGGGAGAGTGACTATGGTCGTCCTCCCCATATGATTCTCCTGGACTAGGGCGTCAGTATACAGGAGCCCAGTGATAGTCTGTGCAGGCGGAAACAAAAAGAAAGTGAAAACAACAAAGGACGAAAAACGGGTGCTGTCAGCTTGCGCGCCGAGGCTATAGACATTCCTCCCCCAATGTTCTAAAGTTTCAGAAAGGAAATGAATGCGGAGAACGGGTTTCGGTGCGACAGCCCACAGCAACGCAATCAGAACAGCTTTAACAAGGGAAACCATGCGCAATGGGAAATATACTAACCCAGGCGATTGTACGACATGATGGACGATCGTGTTTCGGGTTAACAATCGTTCCAATCGGCGAGGATTCCTCGAGCAGGGGAGTTGCGGAGAGAGATTGCGCCAGGAGCGCGGGTGGAATGCTCTCAATTCACTTTTAATGGTTCCCAGGTCAGTTTCTCGGCGAAAGTTTCAGAGGAAAGTGATAGGCGGTTGACGAGATAAAAGGTGGGTACCGTTGATTCGTTGTTAACAGATGTAAGATTGATCGGTGAAACGTGAAGCACAACGAAATAGCGAGTTCAAAGAAGAAGATAGAATGAGAGGCAGCGTTTTCTTTTGACGAGTGCCTGGGAAGCAGCCGCGCCACTTTTTCTTTCCCAAGCAAAGCAAAGCAAAGCGCGCGAGGCACAAATGGTCTTGGCGGGGTTTACGTTTGTTGACCAAGAAACCGAGCGATCAGCGGAAGAGATTCGTGGACAAAAGATAGCGCACTAATTTGTTAGTTCATGGGGAGGATCTGACTAAAGGACGAAGTTGAACGAGGTACGAATGAGATTTCCCTTTTCAGCCGACGATCGTGAAGTCATGTGGGAACATAACAAAAAAAAACAGTGGGGCCCCAGCCGATTGGGCGGGAGGGTTTATGTTACGGTACTTACCATACGGGGTACCTTTTCGGATTCTCCTCGATGTTTGTCATTTCTTATATCGATGATTTCTCTCTAGACAAGTGGGAGCATATCTCCTTCTCTACCTCTCGGAGAATTATCAACAGAACCTTTTTCTCGGATCAAAAAATAAGGAGGGTTAATCTCTTCTGAAACCCAAACCCTGGCAACCTAGTAGCCCGTGGATACGTACCTTCAGTAGAGTCGCACTGGCCTATTGGGTCGTGTCTCCACTCCCCATCACTGGGCCAACAACATCTCGTCCACAGCCACACTGCCGTGGCGGTTCCTTGGGAGCGTCATTGGCAAAAATGCTATTATGTTTGTCAGTTCTTTTTATAGGAACTTTTTCTTGGTAGCCTAAAAGAAAGAACGTTCTTCAGCCCTGTCAGAGGATTGTCACGACTCGCAAGGCAGGAATATTCCGTTGCCTTCACGTATTCTATCTAACTATAGACATGCGCTAGTGTATGTATTCTAATCCGACCAACGTCATAGTATCAGCAATGGGCCGACGGGAAGCATCTGCCGGTAGCTTAATACTTTCTTTTCCCCCCAAGCAACCCCAAGCTTTTGAATCAGATTATCTCTCGATCAAGAGCCAGAGAGAACAAGTAATAGGATTTTATTGCTCCTATTTTGAAGGCTCAACAACTCATCGTATTACGTGAGATGTCACATGACATAAGCTCGCCATTTATGACTGTTCCTGGGGTCCATATCTTCTCTCCCACCGCCTAGACCAAGGGCGAATAACATTGAGTCGTAGTACTATATACCATCTCTAGGCTAGGCAGAATAGGCCCAGTGTAATAGGCGGTAACCTTGTATGGTTGTTTTGTCTCTGGCTGATTTGGTGGGTTGATACTTGTCAACCTCGAATGAGCCCGTAAGCACTATAACTTCATGTTGCTGGACGGCGAGGTCGCATACGCTCCGAGAGGGTGTATGAGACTATCCATGATCTTCAATATCCTGGTGAATACTGACCAACAGATTCCCAGATATTGAGATGGTCGACACAATTCATCTTTTTTGTCCCTCCTGCGATTTTGCTCTCTTTTTATATTGTCAACTTGATAGGGATCGGACACGAGGACAGGGTTCGTGGCATGGAGGCTAATCAGAAGCAGACTGGTCAGCGTAGTGTTCATATTACAAAGAAGATACAACTCAGTACAACTAATAACTGGGAAGTCTAACCTATGCCTAATAGTAGCACAGGACTGAGAAAATCTCCCTGCTGGAGCTATGTAAGGTGCAGTAATTGCATATGGCCTTCGTAGATACCAGTGCAGCCTTCTCAAACTCATCAACAAAGGTTGCTTAGATATATACCTCGAATTAAGGATATGTGTCAGGTAGGCAATACGTGTTCAAAGTAGCAATGACTAACGGTAATATTTTTAGAAGATGATGGAGAAGACATGTGCACTTACCCTGAGGCTTGGTGTTGATGGGCAACTCGGAAGTATCCTACCGAAAAGAGCACAACATACTCACCGAATCCCGTATACAACGTGGCAGACAGGCTCCAAGTTCATGATACCTAGCTACGTAGCCATAATTAGAAGTGGGACTTGATGCTCTAATCATTGCCATGAACTATTACATTGCCTCGTGAGCCAGATCGCCCAGAGCTATATTAGGTAATAAAGTAGATCACCAATTACGGTCACGCCAAGATCTACAAATAAAATAGGGGTATGAGCACCCTAGGGAACGATATATCCTTGAAAAGCGTACCTGCCAATCATGCTAAGCATCTGCGGCATGATATAGTAGCAGCTGGGCACTCTTTGTTACCAGGATTCAAGAAACCACGGTTCGAATGTCCACTAGCTAAGGTCTAGTATCATCTTTAATAAAGCTAGACCCCGCAGCTCGACCATTGTAACTGGAGACTTCGTCATTGGAAAGGCGAAGGCCTAATGAACCAACAACTGACGATGATTCGTTTAGTTATGTTGCAACAATTTAAGCACGTTCTCTAGGCTAATAGACCTAGCCCCGCTGTTCAAGCGTTCCCACCCCGGGCTCTTTGTAATTAGGGGAGACAAGTTATGTGAATTAATCATCAAAGGACTCGGTTCGTTGGGTCCCAGCGTTATCAGGGCACGTTTTTAATTAAACTGGTCCCACCGATTAAGCAAATCGACCCCCATGCTCTTTTTCGAGGAACGTGACAGGGATATCGGCCGTAGATGGCACGATTTGAAATAGTATCATCGCCAGATTCTCCACACATGGCAAAAACAAAGGGAGATACGCCTTTAACGTCCTTCCAAGGAGTAACCGTCGGGCAAGACAAATTGGGAAACTATTTCCTAGTCTCAGTTCGGAGCATTGTCCCCGCTTGATTGGCGAAATACAAGCCCTTGGTACAAAATGCACGGAGTCTTTTCGTCGGTTCTTATACGATGAAAAGTCTTGAGATGAGTATAAACGTATAGGATTGAATGAGCTGTTACAATGCTACACAAAATCCAATTACTGCGTACAAGGGCAACTATCGTCCCTGTTTACTCGCGGCAAAATACCTCGGCAGTCTCTCAGGACTCTAGGAGTTACTTTACTACCTGAACAGTAGTGCTTGGGTGACATGGCATGAATAGTTTAATTTTTATAGATACTTCGGCTTTTGTTTAACTGGTCTTTCCCGCGTATCGTAACATTACCATTGGATCTTTTAGCCAAACACACCCTTGACAGCCGCAGTGGGCGCCAGTCTTCGTCTCACATTCCCTGTTTTCGAACGGCCCAATGCCAACATGGCTCCGTGTACAGAGTGCGGTGCCTGTCGATCACTACATAGGCTGCCTTTGTCTTTATTTGAGTTTGAGTGCCCGCTGAGGACCACTCGAAGTCTTTATTAAGGCATCGCGAGTCACTAGGTTGACTAGTCAGGAACCGACCCCAGATTAAGGTTTGGTGCCCGGCAGTCTGGCCTCAGGAACCATGTTAGGGCACGGGTTGACCATGTGTGACCATCTAAGATTACTTCCACTCCATTCCACGCCAGACTTAATCAAACCTACCAGAATCGTGAATTCCTTTCTTCACCGCACGTTTGGGATCTTTGTGGGAGGTTGTGGTTGATCAATGCGTCCGTGTCTTGGGTTCTACTTTCTAAACGCAAGAATCAACTGGTCTGTATCCTGAACGGCATCTGTTCTTTGTCTTGGATAGTTGTTCGTTCAAACAATCAAGGTGATGCGACGGTCTGGAACCTTAATATATAGATCATTGCCATGATTGTGTATTTCTAATCTTAGCGGCCAATGTGAGGTGGCGGAGTGGTATCTCATGGAGTGGATCATAACTTAGTCTAAGTCGCCCAGTTGAAATCTTACTAGGATGAATTCCGTATCGAGCATGACACAGGATGGCCTGGGCGTGATCTACAGACATCTTGATAGATCAGACTGATCAAGTCGTTAAACAAAAAGAAAGTATTACCAAAATAGAATATCCGCGAGTTCAAAGAAACATAAGTCATAATCTTAAGATACACTAAAAGACAAAAACTGAGAGATCTGCGCACATGAGACAGATGCATCATGTCCAACAAAAGCACTATTCCTAGGGGTATCAACTGCAACAAGATGATGGTAAGAATTGCCCGACATGTTCCACATTAACACTGCCCACTGTCCCTTAGGCTAATGTTGGGTATGGGCATCCAGGATAGCCTGAAGACGTTGTAGCTCATCATCAGATATACCACTGAATCCCAGAGATGCGGAGCCTGTAGATCTAATGTTAGTAACGGAGGCTAAAAAAAGTATTATCGAGTTGTCCTTACCAAGGGGAACTGGATCGGGCGAGTCAGGACCATCAAGAAAAATGGTTGCAAGCGTCATGCACGCAGGCGGGACGTTGTCAATTCGAAAGGCTCCCGGCCCAGTAGGGATGAACTCTACAATAACATCTTTCAATTGGCCGTTGCACAGGTCACCTGCTGGTTGGGGAAAGCTCGTAAAGACATCGTTTTCGTGCTTCTGTGGTTTAGAGTCGTCCTCTGTGCGGTTGCTAGTATGTCGTTAGTTTTGCGTGCAGACTTCCTCTTGCTACTGATATGCTTACAGGTTTTCAGTTCCTGTCGGATGAGCAACGCTGAATTGAGGCACCCCAAGGTACAGCAGTGCAAGGGCTGAGACAGATGACTTCATTTTGACTTGTGGTAGAGTCTCTTGAGGCAAAGAAAGGAAAACCGCTTATCGGTGATCAACTTTCAGCAGGGGTTGGAATTGATGATATGCTGAGATGCTGATAAGATAAAATCCAGATTCAGAGGGGTTTATATAGACAAAGTTGGGACCTTCATTAAGCTGTCGGGCTTGGTGTTCTGAAGTCTATACATCCTGTCATGACTTTTGTGGCTCAACCCTAGCCTTCTTTGTAATCTAAATGTAGAATGATGGTTTACCTTGTACCTAGCTATCATGGTGATGTAGTATTAATTGGCTGCAACCCACCCATCGCCTACCTTGTAGTGGGGCACAATCATGAATGCTTTAACCTATGCTGAGGAAGAATCAAGATACACTGTGGTCACCTGAGATGGTATCATTGCTAGAGACATTGAACACCATAGAAGACAAACGGGCGATGTAACCATCAAAGTTCTGACGGCTTGTCCCTGCATACGCCCCTTTCGAATAGAGTCCGACACCCCCGCTTGTGTTGTCCAGTCTGGCAGACAAAGAACATGGATAAAGTCGAGGAAATTACACCACTGCCGTCGATGTTGAGGCTTTCTGATAGGGTTACACTCTCACCGGGCAAGACACGGGGCGCAACTTGTGCGTGATTCAACATTATGCTTATCATATGTGGTGTCATTTTGACCCGAAACTTAGAATGGATAACATCACTGCTAATTTCCAGTCCTTGTTGCGAAGACTAAGTCGGGAGCTGTGGGCATAAATAGATATGCCATTTCCCCCTTCCTGCATTGTTTACTTCGTTTCCAATCAACCAACTGTTTGTCACTCTTTTCTCACAGTCAGCTCATTCATTTATTCACTTTATCAACTTACGTTCATTAAAAGCCATTCAAGCAATGGTCTCCCGACAAATCCTGGGGGTGCTTGCGCTGGCCCTCCTTTGCCTTTTCCAATCATGCGGAGCACTGCCATCTGGATCCGGAGTTTCACTGCTTGCTTCGGGCCCCGAAACTAAACTGGAACCTCGTCGGTTTGGCTTAGGAAAAGTTGGCTCTTTTATAGGCAACATTGTTGGAAGATCGAAAGGATCTGGGGGAAGTGTTGGGGGTAGTCATAAGAAGCCAGACAACCATGGTGATGACAAGAAGGACGATAAGAAGGGTGAAGCGCCAAAGGAACAAAAGAAAAAAGATAAGAAGGAAGAGCCTCCAAAAGAAGAGAAGAAGGAAGAACCGCCAAAGCAGCAGTCAGGACAGGGGCAACAGCCCAGACAGCAACCAGGAGACCCGACGCAAGGACAACAGCCAGTGCAGGGACAACCCCCAGTACAAGGACAGCAACCGGGGCGGGGACAACAGACAGCACAAGAGCTAGCACAGCAAGTATCCCAGCAGCAGCAATCACAACAGCAACAAATATCGGCACAGCCAGAGCAGGGGCAACCGCAAGGGCAAGGAACAGCACAGCAAGCATCCCAGCAGCAGCAGCAGCAGCAATCAGCACCACAACAACAGTCAGGGCAAGGGCAACAGACAGCGCAAGGGACAGCACAGCAAGTAACCCAGCAACAGCAACAACAACCTCAATCACCAACGCAACAGACATTCGGGCAGCAACAAGATTCAACACAGCCAGCACAACAAGTCCATGTCGATAATACCCCTACCAGACAAGATATCTATGGCTCAGCTGTTCTGGGAGCTGGTATTGGAGCTATTCCTGCAAGTCTCAGTGCCGCGACACTTAAAAAAGAAAATGAACTTAATAGGGAGCAAAATGCTCAAGAAGGAGAGTTGAACAGGCAGCAATCGCTGGATCTGGCCGAGAAGCAAATGCAAAGCAATAGTGGTAGCGCCACTAACCCTCCTCCTTCTCCCAGCCCTTCTCCTTCTAGCAACCCTCTTCCTCCTGCCGACCCTGTTCCTCCTGCCAACCCTGTTCCCCCTGCCAACCCTGTTCCTCCTACTAATCCCGGAAGCTCTGGCTACGACGACGCTAGCTATGCTGGCTATCCTGGAAATACTGCCAATGCTGGTGCTGCTGGCAATGTTGGAAGCACTGGATATGGAGGTTCTAATATAGCAGGCACTACTGGCTCCACTGGTTCGACTGGCACCGTTGGCAATGCCGGCTATTCCGGAAATACTATCAATGCTGGTTACCCTACCAATACTAATCAGAAGCGAGGATTTCCACAAATTAATCAGGGGGTTCCTCGCGAAATCCAAGAGGCCTATGATTCTTGTAAGAAGGACTTCAATGATCCTTCCTATCTGATTTATTTCTATGAGACCGGCTCTGACTGTAAGTTCTAATTCTCAACTGGGGTATCCTCACCTACTTACTAACAAATTGTGGTTCTAGCTATTCGATTGGATGACGTTCCTCCAACCTGCATGGAGGTCGCAGAAATCCTCTCTGGCCAGCCTAAACTGGCTGCTGGCAGCCTAAAGCCAACTATCATTGGTTCTACAAGTATTGAGTATCATGGACTCAGCGAGCAAGAGATGGAGAACATCATGAACTCTCTATATGACTCGGAGACTCCATATTTATGGTGATTGACTCTCTCAAGACGATTCAGGAAGGACGAGTGAGGTACATTCTACTTTCATGTGCTTTGATTAATGAGTTCGTAGTACTCTGATTATTTTTATTCGATTTTGAAGACTTTTCAAGTAAGGGTTGTACCTAACAAGGCAGTTCATCGTAATCCTTAAAGGCAAATGCAAGGAGTAATTCATGCATTTATATAATGTGTCATAAACATAAAGGATGCTAAGGTCTAAGCAAAGCTAGTATTAGACTCCCATTTTTATAATGATCTCGGTGGGAGCTGCTGCTTGGACTGCATTCAAGGGTAACTAAGCTAGATAGTATTTCCTCGGATGCATTGTGGTGCAATCGGATTGCTTCCAGCCGACAATGCTGGATAGCTCTGTTCTTTAGATGATACGATCCATTGCTAACCCGCTCATCATTTACCTGATGTACAGAGTTTACGTCAGGCTTTGAATCAATCTCGAATTTAGCACCGTGGGCAAAGATCTAGATCCAAACCGCCAATGGAACATGATTAGTTTTATAATAAAGACTACAGTAGAAGTCATATCTCGGACTCTATCAATGACTGCACATATTTCTTCACACCAACAGCAACAGGTCTCAACTCCTCACAAAAGCCCACCGCCCGTAGTTTGTTTGTATTTGCACAGGTGTAGTTCTGGTAGTTCCCTTTCAGAGACTCGGGGAACGGGATAAAACTGATCGCATCCTGGACACGATGTGCTTCTGAAACGGCCTTTGCGACCTCGAGGAATGTTTCAGACCGACCAGTACCCACATCGAAGGTCCCAGAGACCAAGGGATGGTCAAAGAACCACAAGTTCACCTTGACAATGTCGTGCACAGAGATAAAGTCTCGACTTTGCATTCCAGCTGCATAGCCGTCATATGCCCCGAAAAGTTTGATTTTCGAGCCTCCTTTGAGTTGTTGATGCATTTGATATGCAATACTCGCCATGGGCCCCTTGTGTTGTTCCCGGGGCCCATAGACATTGAAATAGCGCAGTCCAACGACTTGAAGACCTTTATATTCGTTCAAGTGGCGTGCCACATACTGATCGAAAAGGAGCTTCGAGTAGCCGTAGACATTAAGCGGAACAGGCTTCTGGGGCTGCTGCCCAGCCTCTGGGAAAGCATTCTTTCCGTATACCGCCGCAGACGAAGCATAGATCAGCCGTGACCTATGTTTCTGGCAGTAATGTAAAATTTCCTTCGACATGGTGAAGTTGAGGTCCATCATGAATTTTCCATTTTGCTCGGTCGTCACAGAACACGCGCCATTGTGGAAGATGATATCCGGAGGCGGAGACAGCGAGTCTTGAGCAATAGCCGTGCGGAATTCGCCAATGTCTAAATAATCTGCAATCTCGCAGTCGGAAAGGTTGGTGAATTTAGATCCGTCAGTTAAGTCATCCACAACGATAATATCGGTCCGGTTGCGGTCGTTGAGGGCTTTGACAATGTTAGAAGCGATGAAGCCCATGCCGCCAGTAACGATAATCATCTTGATTCACTTCAACAATTTTCACCCCTATGTCTGCTCCAGTAGATATACCCCTACGAGATGTAATAGAAGAAAATAACATTATGAACACATATCAGTACGTGCACCATTCCCTTCTGAGAAAGAAAGGTTGCCTTCATTGGTGCCACGTCAACATATGGAAGGTTCCCCGCGCTACAAGTCCAGAGGTTAGCCTAGATTTATGGTTTTAGGGTTAGAGCCCCTTGTAGCGCGTAACGGGTTGAAGATAAATCTGAGAGACCTAACGATCCATATTGATCGAGTAAGGTCTAGAGGATTCACTCGAGCCACCATGACCCACGCTGGGCCGGTGACGTTCACAGACGGTCTACCTCTGCCACATCTCATCGCTTTTGATCTGGACCACACATTATGGCCATTCAAGGTCGACGCGGATGTCGGCGAGCCGGTCGAGGCTCGCAACAACAATTTACGCGTCGTAGACCGGTATGTCAGAACGGAATCGTGGAGTTCCATTAGTCTTGTTTGCCTAAACTCTCTCATAACCAAATAGACGGGGTAAGTTCTTCGCCTTCTATCCAGCTGTGTCCTCAATCCTCTCCTCCTGCAAGGATCGCTCAATCCCCTTGGCACTCGTTTCACGGAGCCATGCTCCCGATTTGGCCCTTGCCATACTCGAAGCCCTGCACATCAATCCCGCGTTCTCGGATAACACCACCACTCTCAATACATCCTCTCTGTGCGCGCGGAACTACTTTGACTACATCCAAATTGTCCCTGGGACCAAAACGAAACACTTTACGCGCATCCACCATGCCAGTGGCATTGCCTATGAGGACATGTTGTTCTTTGATGACGAGGCGCGTAACCGCGACGTGGAGACTGAGCTCGGGGTCACATTCTGTTTGATTAGAGGTGGAATAGCTAGGGACGAGGTGGATCACGGAGTCAGGGCATGGCGGAAGCGGAATGGAATTTGGACAGAAGACGACTGATGATGAGTAACGGCTGTTTTGCAATGCCTTTGCCTTTCCATATAAGGAATGCTTCTATATAGTGGTGAACACTGGCCACTACCCGTAGATATGTACATCACCCATAGATAGACTGGTTTAGTTTTGCAAGTGCAATAGACAAGTAATATTTAGCCTGACTATTGTTGACCTACGATACTGGTGAGCCCCCGGTGAACAGAAATTGAAAACAAGCTATGGCAATGGTGAAGGGCTACTCGCGGTAACGATTCATGATTTCCTGGATTATATTAGTGGTGGAAATGCCCAGTTGCAATGGGACAAGTTCCACCCTTCCCCCATTGGCCTCTACAAAGTCGCGTCCGACCACTTGATGTAATTCATAGTCACTTCCCTTGACAAGAAAGTCCGGTTTGATGGCCTGAATCAGATCAAGGGGAGTTTCTTGGTCGAACAAAACCACAAAATCCACACAGTCTAGTCCAGCCAGAGTCTGAACTCGTTGGGCCTCGGGGACGATAGGTCGACGGTGACCCTTGATCTGCCTTACAGAAGAGTCTGAGTTGAGCCCCACGAGCAAAACATCACCGAGAGCCTTGGCTTTCTGTAAGTAATCGACGTGTCCGGCATGCAGGATGTCAAAGCAACCATTTGTGAAAACAATTTTCGCTGACGGCTGGGACTGGCGCACAGCGTGAATCTTGGGGAGCAGTTGCTTGAGGGTTCGATACTTGTATAGAATAGGTCCTCGGTCGAGCGAATTGGTTGAACAGGCCATCACAAAGGAGAGTAGTTCATTCGCGTCAATTGTACTGATTCCCTTCTTACCAACGGCCAGAGCACCTGCGTGGTTGGCCAACTTTGCGGCCTGATGGACAGAGGATCTGCGGATGGCGAGATCCCAAGTGAATACGGCAAGCACGGTATCTCCCGCACCACTGACATCAGCTACTATTTCTGCATGGCCCGGAAAGTGTGTCTTTTGTTGAGAGCCCGATTCATACAAAATTAGACCGTCCTGTCCACATGTGACAAGAAGCACGGATGCCTGAATCTTGGTCATGAGCTCTCTCGCAGCCACATCGACATCGGACGGTGAGCGTAATAATCGGCCCGTGGAAAGCTGGAGCTCGTTGGTATTTGGGGTCAGCGCGGTGACACCGCAATAGTGGTCGAGCACCTGAAGTTTCGTATCTGCAATGACCGTCTTCTCCAGCAATTTTGCCTTACGGATAATCGCCGTTACCAGTGACGGACTAAGGAAGCCCTTATTGTAGTCCGACAACACTAGACCGGCGCAACCTACTAGGCACCCTTGGATAGCCTCCAGTATGCGTGACACGTCTTGCTCCCCCAACGGTGTGGTTGACTCGCGGTCAACGCGGACAATCTGTTGCTGCTCTGCAATGATTCGAGTCTTGAGACTCGTTGGCCTCCCAGGAATGAGCTGAATTAAACTGGTGTCAATCTTGGATTGTGACAGGGAACACATCAGTTGTCTGCCTTCTTCATCATCTCCAATCGCTCCAACCAAGACTACCGACGCACCAAGTGCAGCAAGGTTGCAGGCCACATTGGCAGCACCTCCGGGATAGAAGGCCGTCTCCTGTTGTTCCACAACTGGTACTGGTGCTTCTGGAGAAATCCTCTTGACGTTCCCACGGATGAATTGGTCCAGGATCAGATCGCCGACGACGAGAAGGGGCCCTTCGGCGTAATGCAGAGCAGTCGAGTCTTCCAACGGCATATTATCAGCAAATATTCTTTTTGAAAATGTTGGTTTTACGATGCATCAGTAATGGATTACGGCCTGGCGCTCCTCGAGTAATAAGTCTTTCATAAACTTGTTTGGTTGAGAACTACATTAACTACTAATCATATGTCTTGCTGAACCAACAATCTCTGCGAGTTTACCCTAGCGCGGAGAGGGGCAGCTGAACCTCAGCTGCCAACGTAGTGGGGCTGAAGAAGCCGATCGATCGGACATACGTGGTACCAGTAAAACAGAACCATGGACCGGTGATCCCTCATTTAAGTAGTTTGTGTCGGTCAGCCAGTAAACCGCAGTGAGAACTAGGAGTGAGTGGAGTTCTTGCAGATACGGTGCTAGCCCATAGGAGAGAGAGAGTTTTGCAAGTACTAGTACTATAAAAGGGTATGTGAGGACAGTGCACAAGTCTAAGGGGCAAACTGATCCGCAACAAATCTTCATTTCCTTTCCTCGAGTGGAGTCTCGTTAGTATTTGGACCATTTCCTTACGACCTACTATCTCGTCAAGAATCCTTTGGTTGTGATTCTCCTCGTGTCACCGAGTGTGTAGCCTGATCAATGGAGACCAATGAACATCCCCAGACCAACACAACGCGGGGGAGCCATTTAAGGCGATTGAAGTGTGGTGGGTTCAATATAATTCTCTGATGGACGAAATTGTACTGACTGAGCGCCTAAGGAGTTTCTAATAATGATTGGGGTAAGGGCTTCTCTATATGTGGAGGGGAGAAAATTTGAGAATGGAGACTGAAGATTGGCAAAGGAAAGCTTGGAAAACAATCCATAGTGGCCCAATTTGCTGTCACCACGTCCGCCGTAGGGGACAATGCCTTGGATGAGAATAAACCCTATGCTGAGTTTTGGATGGGAGCGCATCCTTCTCTTCCTTCGTATGACCTTTCCACTGGCCAGCCTTTACAAGAGGTCCTCAGGGATAATCCACATCTGCTCTCAACCCAGGTGAGCCAGAGATTCCGTACGACACTACCGTTTCTATTCAAAGTTCTTTCCATCAGAGAGCCGCTTTGTATACAAGCTCACCCGGACCGAAATCTTGCCTATGACTTACACGCAAGGGATCCGCTTACATATCCTGGTAAGCTGACCAGCCGGGGGAGTGGCTTTGCCTATACCCTAGTAAAGAATATAGCGGTTAGACATATATATAATTTTAATTATAGATTCGAACCATAAGCCCGAAATGATTGTCGCGTTAACCCCATTCGAAGCGTTGTGTGGATTTCGGCCCCTGGAAGAGATTGTTCATTTTCTTTCTTGTGTCCCACCGCTACGAAACCTCATCAGTGATGCCACTGCAATGGAAGTACAGTCCGCCTGTGGAAGCGCAGGAAATGGGTATGATCCAAAAACCGCTGAGATAGCGCTTAAGAGGGCCTGGTCAGAGCTGCTGACCGCGCATCCATCACAAGTCCGATCGTGCGCAGAAGACTTGATCCGCTTCGCGACTAGCAGGCCAAGCCACGAATCTCTGGCGGTCGAGCATGGCAATGTCCTTGACCTGATACTTCAGTTGAGTCAGCATTACCCCCATGATGTTGGGCTTTTCGCCGTCCTATTCATGAACCATGTCTGCCTAAGCCCCGGAGAAGCTTTATTTGTGAGATCTAATGAGCTTCACGCTTACCTAAGTGGCGGTATGTTGCTTCTTCTTCTTCTTCTTCTTCTTCTTCTTCTTCTTCTTCTTCTCCTAGTACCGATCTATGTTGTTGACCTGCCATATCTAACGGGCTGGTTTTTCTTTTCCCTTTCAGATGGTATCGAATGCATGGCATCATCAGCGAACGTGGTACGGGCAGGGTTCTCACGGAAACACAAGGATGTTGATATGCTCATATCGATGCTCACATATGAAAACCTGCCTCCCTTCGTTATAAGAGAACCGACTCCCTATTTGTTGGTGGAAATGAATTCTCGGGAATCCACATCGGTATTATATACATCGCCCGCCGAAGAGTTTAATATCATCAAAACTTTTCTTGCGCCCCAGTTTGCAACCGCGAACTTCCGAGCGTTTCGTGGGCCCACCGTGCTGATATGCACCCAGGGAAGTGGGAAGATCGGAGTAGGACACTATATCGAACTGATTGAGTGTGGTCACGTCTTTTTCGCAGGCGCCGGTGCGGAGATCTTTATCCAGAGTTGCAGTGAGGAACCATTAATCCTGTTTCAGTCCTTTTGTGAAATTGAGGAGTACAAATCCCCATTATAAAAAGAACAGATATTCGACTCTTGACAAAGATGCTTCACCGAGGAGATGAGATAATATGAGAGGCCAAAGGACCTTGAGTTCCAATGTTCCATCGGGGATCCCCACTATTGATGTTCTTTACTGGGATAGGGTTATGTCCGTCATGTGCGGTGATACCTCTTCGTTGCCTTTTTTTTTTTTTTTTTTTTTT